GCTTTGTATCAGAATAACAAAGTAGCGAACGCAAACAACTCCGTGACCCAAGCTTGGTCGTCTTTCACCATAATTCGATGCTTAGTACAGTTAGGCTATTCCGCACTAAAGTCTTGTGGTACTCGCTCTTCAGATCAAAAATGGCAAAACAAATCGTGTAAGTAACCTTGATTTCTGAGGGACTCTTCGAACATAGCTCTGCTGATATGCTATCCTCACCAGGGACTTCATTTTGCCTCGACGAATTGATGATGTCTGTATTTCTACAGTTCACGAACGTCCGCCGAATTACGAGTGTTATTTGCCATGACAAAAGTTGTATGTTTATGTATGACCTCTATACGTCATTAGGGTTTCAAAAAGATTTATCCGTTGGGGAAAATATCGACTGATTCGCTATCAGCTCACCAGCAATGCTGTGCCTATATTAATTCATCATATTTCTCGAGCGCGCCAAATTTCAAATTAGCTAGTAACGCCTAGTTCTGTCCCATATGCCGACCGCGTGTTCCCCTACGGGAGCTACTGTTCCCAACACGTACTCTTGTCTACTCTGGCAGATGTCGATACTTGCCACGGAGACGAACGGAAACCAGTGCTTCTTCTGATAGAGCCTTGACGTCCAACTCCGTAATCTGTACCGTTGTACGGTGATTTAGTGGCATCTGCGTATCTTGGCAGAGCCAAGTACAAGGCACGGTCTGTTCATCGACGGCCACCTTCCGTCCATGGTATCACATATTATAGCAGTGGCTGTTCGGTAATCCCGGCTGATCTCGCATATCCTGAAATGCTTGAATCCCCCGTTGATTCCGGAGCTTGGAGCTGTCGATACGCCTCTGAAGAAGCGAGTTAAGTTTTTTTGCAAACTCTAAGCACATTTTCGTGTTAACTATGACGTTTCCAGTCTCAGTCCCGCGCACTGCTCTGCCGTCGATAAACAGCTAGTCTATTGCACCGATTAACACATATCAATCAGATAGGCTGCCTACGGCATCACCGTAACAGATTTTTTCGACGGTCCTGGAATCACGTGTTTCTCACAAGCAGTCTGTTATGTTCAGAAAAATCGAGTAATCGTTTGCCATTACTACACCGAGTACCAAGCCCATATCTTTCGAAGATGAACTGGATAATGTCGTCCGAGAAATCTGCTTTCCCACGCCAGTCGCTTAGCAGGTCATGCTTAATCGTGGTATCGCCTACGTCTAATGTGGGTAGATAGACAGTAATGATGGTGGCTATGTTGAAAGCAGCTTCTTGTAAGCGCGTGTAAGCAAGCTGCGAGTCGTTTGACAGCCATGAGAGAACAACAGCAAATGCTTTATCAGGCAGTACTGTGGCAACATCAAGTCTTCCTGAAATATCCGTGAGGAAACTAGGTTTAGCCCGTATTGCTGTTCAGTTAGAGGAACTTTCATCGACCTTGATCCGATACGGGGGATGTGGACTTCCAAAAGACAGGCAATGCCAGATTTGTAACAGGACAACGGACGAGATTGACTTTTCGTGGTCAAGTAACGTATACGCTACAAACTGACAATCGAAATGATTGCACATGGCGTGAGTAGTGCAGTTCGTGTATAAAATAGCCGGGTCACCAGAATGAAATCGCACTGAGCGTCGAACAGCGCGAATTCCATATCATTAGAAGGAAGAGCGTTAGACCAATTTTAAATTAGTGTCATGGGGTTGGTCGATTAATATCGAATGGCACCTAAATGCCGCCTGGTTCATTATCGAAGTGTCTCTTCTAGCCCTTAATCCTCCAAAGTGTGATCGTAAGGTAGATGCAGCATATCACGGGTCATTATCGCCTCGTAATGGTACCGTCGTGGAGTCGAGCGCCGCTGTTTTAGAGGTAATAGATTTGCCTGATCTGTTTACAGCTACGCCTTGATAATGCCAGCCGTTGTTAGTATACGTCTACTTACCATCTTGGAGTCGTTCTACTATACGAAACCTGGGGACATGCTAGATGGTGAGAGTTAGATCCACTGATCTCTAACCTTAAACAGGCCGTAAAATGCGATCATTGTAAAAGTTAAGCTCATTCTAATTTCTTATAAATAATTAGTTTATTATTTCAACATCCTCTGCAATCACAGTTCTTTCATGTGTCCAACGGAACTGCTAGTCGATCGAGAAGGCGTTCGGTCATTAACAGAAACAATATTTTCAAGCAGAGTTAATCAAGGAGACTCCACGTCAAGTTATTTACATGGATGTTACACTCAGTAGTGAAATACATACAAAAATATACATGTCTCTTCAGAAAAAGTTAGAAAAAACAAAATTCAGGCTTTCAAGTCAAGCCAAGTCAAACTGAAACTCAGATAACAAGCATCAGGCCTGAAGTAGCTGCAAGCTAAACTCTACCATACTATCCCTTGTTACAGCATAAATACACATCTTTTGCAACTAAACTCATTCACTACATATACCAGATTTCATACTTCGTTTGTGTCCAAAACAAGATCTCTGAAAGACACGCTGAACATATCTTCGTCCTTCGCATTCTTGAAATTCCTAAATGCAAAAAGACGTAACAGAATGGATGTGAAACAAACAATAGAATACCTAAGGAAATAATAGTAGTATGCCGCTTCTTTTGGCTGAACAAGACGAAACGGCGATGTGTATAAGAAAATGAGGCGTGTTAAATTCAGCTGCTGCAACAGTGTTCCACTAACAGATGTACCTAAGAATAACATAACCATGTATTAGAACAAAACTGCAATTACTAAATTCATGAAATATTCATGAAAACAGTTGTGAAATAAAATATTACCATCAGCGTTTTAATTTATTGCCTACTTACGGTCATATTATTCTTAGCTGTGCTTGGTTCAGAGGGTAAAACAGCACATACCAGTATTTTAACCTCAGACTTTATTTTTTGTTTCCTATTCACTGACAGCTAACAGACTCCTGTTTGGGATTGAAAAAGATATAATTACCTTAATGCACTAACTTTGATCGCAACTGAGTCGCCCTTATCCATAGCGTGTTAGTGATATAATACTTTCGACTCAAACCCCTTGGCAGCAACCAAATACATCACAGTAGTGCTGAAAAACGTCATCTGCTGTGACAATATACGTAATTGAATTGTGAAGTTTAGTGAAATTCATTCAACTTCATATAACTATGGTTAGTCACATTATCCAACTATCGCTCCATCTCATAAATGAGGCGGAATAAATAATTCCCTGCTACGAAAGTGGCAAGATGCTGAGGATGATTCTGTTTAAAAGTTCAATCATATTAACCCGAAAGGCTTGTAATTTGTAATGAGTGATAGATTTTACGTAGATAGAACCTGCAGATAGCTTAACTGAGAATTAAGACATTTGTCCGCAATCAAAAACCGTAATGCCGAATACTTAGGCGTTACATTCCACGCCATTACTGAAAGACCAAATTTAAGGGACGTAAATCTTTGGGCAATTGAAAATGACAACTTCAAGCTGGGGTTTACAGTAAAAAACAGTTCTTTCATACTTTGACACAAAAAAAACGATTAAGCAACCAATACTCCTCGTCGTTCAACAAAAGTCAACTTAGCGATGCAATCAGTAATATGTTACCTAATATTTAGTCCCGGGACCTCCTGACAGGCAACTGCCACGCAGCATTAATTTGCTAATAATTTGTTATTGTGTGAAAACGTTAACCTGACCAACATTTCATTCAGCCTTGATGATGCCATTTGTATTATTAATGAAACGGGTCGCCTGTAAAGAGTTGCTCTGGATTTGGGTGTCGTACAAACATTCAGTTTGAAATATTTCCAGAATTGTTAGATTTTCAGGAACGAAGTTTTATAGTTACTTCATTACTTCATAGAAAAAACAGTTTATGAAACGCCTCAGAAGTACCAATCAAATTCCACATGTACTTCTCTAAATTTAAAAAAAATCTGCTGTTGTTTTCCGCTTTCTCTGAAATAGCGATAATCCGCTGGGTCGTCGTTTTGTTCATCCTGCAGTTCAACACAACAACCACAGCAGCGATCTCTTATTGATTATCAGAAGCTATTGCGAGTCATAAAATGTTTCATTTTATCCTAGAGCTTTACATCACATTTGAGTCTGACAACACCCAAAAGAATGCTTTCATGCCTAGACTATAACCTAAAAACAAGATTCTGGAAAGCATATTGATGACGCCTTAGTTCAAATACATAACTGCAATCTGAAACCATTAGCGACAGTTCACAAGTCGAACGCGTTGACAGCAAAATCACGTAGACCACTACGCTAATGAATGAACACAATTTCAATAAACATTTAAAAACCCATTTCACATATCATCGATGCGTCTGATGATGAGCAGCTGCTTAAAGGACGAACAACTGATCACGGCTTAAGGTGCCAAAAGTTATTCCATTTAAACTTACTGTGACATTAACTTACATAGATCTCCGTGAACAGCACTTGGCGTCAACAGCAGTCCCATCTGATATAAGGTTAGAGCGATATGCACGGCGTGACAGCTGAGATCTTCGGTTTGACGAAACAGGAAGCTGATCGCTGCTTCGAACTGACCACTCATGAGGAGCGCCGTCCAATAGACCAACGGGTTTTGTACCTCAGCAAAATGCGCCTCGCCTGTTCAGTATTTATACAAAGTCAGTAGAAAAGTAGGAATGTGTAAGTACCGTATTCGACAGCAATCAGCCGCTGCAAGTCAGAGAAGGTGAGTTGTTGGGTAGCCCCAGTTCGCGACGCATCAATGCTTCTGCTATCATCAGAACGCAATTTTGCCTCTGTCATAACAACCTGTCGTAGCTTTAACCACAGCCAATCTTCCAAACGCTCGGTTACTTGTGGATGTTCAAGTTTTGGATCGCACAATGCAATTGCACAATAAACGGCTCTAAATACAGAACGTGTGTAAGACATTAATCACTTGACATAATACTTCGATATGGCATTAAATGCATTGTTAGTTAATCCACTTCAGAATCAACCTATTTCATTCAAAGTCTATAATATATTCCAGAAAAGGCAATACGTATAAAACTTATTATAAATAAAGCTTAATTCGTTTAGACGCAAGTGTTTACCATTTTCAGCGCATATATACTAATGGTAGAAGAGAAATTTAAACATAGCATGAAGCAGTAAAAGATGTTACAATGTTTGAGGTTCAGCAAGATGAATTAATGGTACTGCACATTTCAGCTAATCAGCCAGTGAAATTTAATTCAATGAACTTTAAGGCACATCACCAGTTGCCAAAACGCTGATATAACAAACAAATACTACACAATAAAACCAGCAGTGGAAGTTGATGCATATCAAGCTGACCAGATTCTGGCCTAAAACGACCGTTTCTTTTTTTGGTATCGATCAAGCATCGGGCAGCGAACGGAACAACTGACCATTGGCCAGCCTCAGTTCGGCACTTGCAAAAGACATACACAGATCCCGTGCTTCGTCGCTTCAAAGGCACCTATGGAAACCCTGGCATAGTGGGTACAGTTGAGTGGGTTACAACAGAACTGATCTAAGCAACTGTTGTCTTTATCAATCCTCTGAGTGTACCCAAACTCGACACTTCTGTAATCACAGAGTCGGCCAAGTAATTTCAAAAGGTTCTGGATGCAAGTCAGTTTTTCAGGAAACTGCAGAAGTAAGCCGGTGCAGCGTAAAGTAACACATGTAGAATACAAGATTTGGTCAAGTCTTTCAGAATTTCTGAACCAATGACTTCCTCAACCTGTACAATACCGAAACTGCTCCACAAGGAAATAACTTTTGATTACTAATTTCATTTTGCTCATTACTCATTTTCCTTCAATGGCAGTTGTATGACCTAGTTCGGTAGCGAACTTCTTTATCACTATATTCCTAGAGTAAAGCCGTCACCCAGATGTATATCTCTGGATGTTTCACATCTTTTTAAAACGTCTCTCCAAGTCTGGCGTGTGCATCATATGCGATGCTTTCTGTGGCTCGATAAATATTTGCCTAGTTGTTGATGGCATATGCCAGTGCTGCAAATATTGATGCTACATTATATAGGACTGAAAACAAATTGACGATGATCCAGAATCTCAATTACGCGAAAGAAATATACCTTTATAAAATGTATGCGCAGTTCACCATAGAGTCGCATCCAAAACTATATGATTATTTCCTGCATGACGAAAGCATGTACCAGAGTCAATGACTAAGCGCATCACAATATCTATATCACTCTTCCTCCATAGAAAATGTCTACAAACAGAATGTCTAAAGATGCGTATGTGTAAACATGAAAATAGATCATCTTCCACCGGTTAT